GGCGCGTTGGGATAAGGTCACCTGCCGTGGCAAACTTTAGTGGCTCTTGAGGAACTGAGAATAGTTGGGCACCCGCGTGGGCTCGCGTGCGTGTGTCGCTGGTCCAGCCTTTAAGATCATCGTGTGGAGGCGATCAGATCGAGGATATAAAGACATTGTGGCAGTCCGCACTGACAAAGGAATCATTGTTCGCGGTCGGCTGCAGGCGCGACACCTCAGGACAGCCTGCTAGGTTGCTCGCATTCGGTCAGGCTAGACTCCTAACACTTTAGCTCTTGTTTAACATAAGCATGGATGGGTTAGACATTAATGATGGTGCCCCCCTCTGAAGTTTAATTTTTCCCGCCTCCTAGTTTGCCTTGTAGAAGATTTACCTCGAAGGTAAATGCTTCACGTTTGATAACAGATCATCATGAAGGCCGATTCTGCACAAAAGTTTCTCGGTTGTTTTGCTGTTTTTTCCAGGAAATTTGTTGACTTTAATGTTCTAGGAGACTTACGAAGGCATTATAGGGCTAGTTCTAATTTTTGGCATCGCCCCGTAGGTACCTCCAAGCAAAACTCAAGTTGTTCATGCTAGAGAGTTCCTGGCATCCCCACTGTGTCCCCGAGAGAATGCTGCTGTCAAACAAGAGAAGAATTCACCGATATTAATTAAGAGTATGATTCATTAGTGGCTTGGTGGTCACTCTTTTGACTGCAGAGGTGGGCAGTGGAGTCATGTGATATTTGTCTTTGTATTCGCAGCTTCTGAAACAGTGGGGTTATTCGGTGCAACATTGAGAGTCAGCGTAGCGGCTAGTTTCTCGTGGGATTCGGGATCTGCACCCGGTAATTCTCCAATGAAGACCAGTCGCACTGCCCCGATCGTAGGCTGTGAGACAGCAGATATCACGGTAAAAATTTGCTTCCATCGGGGAAGTCTTCTAATGGCCTTCTCGTAGGCTAAATGCAGATGGGCGACCAAAGACGCGCCTACAGCGCTCTGCTCCGCGCCGCATGCTCGGAGACTTCTCGGAAAGTTGGTCGGTTCCGTCAGAGCAGTGGGATGTAGACTGTTTGGTGGCCTTCATAATAATCTCTATTTCACCACAGTCTATGTATCCTCTCATCCCGTCAGTCAACAACATTTTTCTGCCACCTCTGTTTCTGTTGGCATCGGTACCAGAAGATTGTAGCCTCCTTTGTTGCGCCGCTATTGCCT